ATAAGCAGAAAAAGCTGGAAGTGGCGCTGTGGCTCAAGTGGTAGAGCACTAGCCTTGAACTGAAGAGCTTAGGGACAGCGTTCAGGCCCCATGACTGGAAAAAAAAAAAAGCACATAGGGTTTTGAGGAATGATGAAATAGTAATAAATACACCGAATTTTGCATTTAGAGTAAAACAAATGATCTGATCAGTATTGCCAGAGTGGGAGAAACTGAGCCTAGGGAAGGAGCTGGCAGACCAGAAAGCTCAGAAGCTGAGGCCAATTTTCTGGACCCTGTTATAACTGTTGGAAACCCTCCCACTCTAGTCAGATGATCTCAAGGCCTCTGCTGCCAACTTGTGGCAAGGACAGGAGTTTGGATACTGGTTTTGTTTTTAAATTATCTCTATAGTTCTACATTTAGGACAAGTACTAGGGTTGCTGTCTGCCATCCATCTGCTGGCTGGATTTCCTGGACCTTCAGACCTGGAATCCTTCTTTGAGGTTTTCCCTGACATGGCTAGTCTCCTAGGGACCTGCCCTGTCTTTATTCACCTTTTGTGGTTGTTTTGATTTGTTTTGTTTTTTGTTGGTCTTGGGGCTTGAACTCTGGGCTTGGGTGCTGTCCCCTGAGCTCTTCAGCTTAAGGTTAGCGCTCTACCACTGAGCCACAGAGCTACTTCCCATTTTCTGGTGGTTTATTAGAGATAAGAGTCTCACGGATCAGGGCTGGGAAGGTGGCTCAGTGGTAGAGCGCTTGCCTTGAATGCTCGAGGCCCTGGGTTCGATTCCTCAGCACCACATAAGCAAAAAGAAATAAGCCGGAAGTGGCGCTGTGGCTCAAGTGGTAGAGCGCTAGCCTTGAGCTGAAGAGTTGAGGGACAGTGCCCAGGCTCAGAGTTCAAGCCCCACGACCGGACCAAAAAAAAAAGAGTCTCACGGATATTCCTGCCCAGGCTGGCTTTGAACGGCAATCCTCAGATCTCAGTTTCCTGAGTAACTAGGATTACAGGCGAGAACCACCAGCGCCCAGCATCTTTATTTACTTTTTAAAGCTGGCATGCATTGCTTGCCAAGTGCCAGGTGGCTGCATGGCACAGTCACCCTCTAGACTGCCACAAAACCCCAAGTACAACCACATCCTTTTCCAGTGGGTAAGGAGGTGTGGTGCTCTAATCCAGCAGAGCAGGCCTGACTCCCCCTGCCTTCTTCCTTGGGGAGTGTTGCTCCAGAAGACAGGACCTAGCAGCTTTGCTCTGAGGGTCACAGCACTGAAGGAGGGGGAAGTCCTGAGATATGTCCTTTCTGTACCTTTCCCTTTAGCCCCAACTTCCTGACTGACCTCTAAGGCCTCCAGAGCTCAGCCATCCTACCTGCAAGTTCCTCCTTGTGTTCCATGCCAGCGAGGCCAATCTTTCAAGCCCCTGAATGTGCTGTTCATGGTCTCCCTAACCTGTGACCCAGCTTTTCTCCCTGGAAGCAGCACACCCCATGGTCCTTCTCCCCTTTCTGGACCACCAAGACTCCAAGACCGGCTTTGAAGTGTTAGGAAAAGTCTTCCCTACCTATGGTAGACCTGTGTGCCTCTTCCTGGCCTCCCACAGCCTCAGGAGCTTTGTTGCTGTCACAGGACTCCTTCCACTGGCCTGGGTCTGCTTGACCATCCTGTCCCACCAGTAAATCTGAGCTCCAGGTTCTCTGCTGGCACATGTTAATTGAATGAATGATGAAGTTGACTTCTCATTGCTAAGAGGCAACACCAGATCACATGCTGTCCACTCCCTGGCCTGGAGGTGCATCTTTCTTGGGCTATTTCCTGCAGGAATTGTTAGTTTTCAATGGCTGGCACCAAGCTGCAGCACATGAATGGTTTCATGCAGCACCCAGGCTTGCATCAGAAATCTGCCCAGCTAGTACTCTGGGGCTCACAAGACTGGAATGTATTGGAGCCCTGGTGGTGGCTCTGCTTCTGAATGCTGTGCTGGCAGAATTCAGCCTCCTGGACTAAGGTCTCTCTTGTTTTGTTTGCTGGGTTCTTTCCCCACCCCCATCCTGTTCCTGACTGTAGAGTCTCAGTGGGCCGTGCTGCATCTGACTTTTTTTTGTTGTTGTTGTTGTTGCCAGTCCTGGGCTTGAACTCAGAGCCTGGGCTCTGTCACTGAGATGCTTTTGCTCAAGACTAGCACTTTACCACATGAGTCACAGCGACCCTGCTGGATTTTTCAGTTTATGTGGTACTGAGGAATGGAACCCATGGCTTAACGCATGCTAGTGAAACACTATCCATTAAGCCACTTTCCTAGTCCCTGATTTCTGCCCTCGGCTTTTTAAGGACTCCTAGGGTTTACACTGGGCCACCCAGGTGTCTAGAACCATTTCTATTTTAAGACCAGCCTATTAGTTTTTAGTCTGTGTACACTGTCCTTAGCATTACGCTCAGTTGCAGCATGTGAGCCCAGCTCTGAGAAGGGCAGGGGGGAGGGGGGAAGATAGGCCATTCTTGGAGGGACACTTCTGAAGAACCCTGACCTCTGCACAGACCCAGCCTCTGCCTCCAGGCTGCCAGCACTCCCTTTTCACACTAAGAGGGCCCAGGCTGTGATGGGAATCCAGCCCTGTGACCTTGACAAGTTCCTGA